CCAAATACGTCGGTGAAAGATCGAATATTTCATTACATTGTTGTACATTCGGACCCTCTCCGGTGTGTGTCGACAATCACAGATATGCTCTGGTGGAGGTCCAAAACCTGTCATTGCAAAAGGAAGTGTTCCACAAATAAATGCAGTTGTAAAAGCAAGGGACTCTTGTGCAATTCAAAGTGTCATAATAGTTGAAGTTGTTGCAATAAATAAGATTTGAATCGCATAAGTAAGTAATTTTTTTATTACTATTATTTTCTTTTCTCATGTAGAATGTACCGTGTATTTTAAATTCTTGGTCATTCCTTTCAGAAAGAGAGGCGAAAAAGTTACGTCACCCTTGTGGCGTTTTATAGCGACTGAATTACGGAGAAGAAAATATCAATCTCCAACATGTTCAACATTCACCATTAGTGCATGGTGAATGTCAACATTTACCGGTGTAAGTCAGAAATAAGGGTATTTAGCAAATATTTCGGACATACACCAAGCGACTATGTGAATGTTGACATTCACCGGTGAAAGTCGACATTCTCCAGATTTCGGTGTTTCACTGTAACATATATATATATATATATATATATATATGTACACTGTGAAAGAACCCCCCCAACAATAGAACATTTCCAGCAAAACGAGCTTCTTCGGTGCTCAAAGTCAATAAACTAAAATCGAACGAGTTCCAAGAACTAGAAAATTGGAAGGCCCATGGACGAGAAAGACCCCAGTACCCTATTGTGCGACGCTGTGGATCCGGTCTAGACATACAACCAATCGTTCCCAGCCTACGTTTTTCCAGGCTGCCGAGACTCTCGAAGCGCTCTCGATTACCGAAAACCCGAGTCCTGGCTTTAAATTGGCCAGGAGGAACGGCGTCCCGCGACGGCGGCGACTTAATGGCCGTTCGTTAACGAGTCGTACCGCGATACGCGGAGCTCGTTACCCTGGCCCCGTATCGCGGATGAGAACAGAAAGCCCCCTTATTATCGTCCGGACGTATGTACGTAGCCGTGCACATATACAGGTTCCACGATTGTTGTTTTCAGACCGACGAGCTCGCGACACGAGGAACTGCCGCAGGACATTCTTCAAGCTGAAGTGGTCGGACGTAATGGAGGCTGCTCGAAGTACCAACCGCAATGCCCCGTGGGACTCTTCGACTTGATTGGAGTCCTCGGTTGAGCCCTGAAAAACCAGCGCGGCACACCGCCCCCGCCGAGTAAACAGTTCGATTTTATGCCTCCGCTTCAGCCAGCCACTCGACGAACGCTCGAGGATTCCGGCTATTGTGTACTCGGCTGATTGATCGACTCGTATCTCGCCTTGTATCTTCGCTAAGAACGCAAAGCATGGGAGACCGAAGCGAAAAGAAACCTATCGATCCGAAACGCTCGTACGCGCGGATCCTGCTGGTTTGTAACTTGTTTGACCCGGCCCGACTCGAACCCGAACCCTAACCCGAACTCGAACCCGTCAGCCACCCGAGGTCTCGACGAAGCCCATCGAAGTTAAAGCCGGATATTTTCGAACGACAACTTCGCCAAGTTTACGCGAAGTTTCGCGAGTGTGTTCAAAGGATGGGGTAGTTAAAGGTATGCGCGCGATAAGTCGCGTTAAGAGCGTTCGCGCGAATCCGATCTTCCGGTTGCGTTAGCGTCCATGAGTATCGGGATATCTGGCGAATTTAGGTAGATTATACAGGGTGTTCGCGATTTTTGAGACATTTAGGTCAATCTGACAAAGAAATGTTTCGAATGAAAGTTATTCGGTACTTTGATGGGAATAAAGTGCATTAGTAAAAATTGTGAGAAATTTTGTTATCAAATAAGAAACTAAAGTCACCTTGCCTTTTTTAAAGTAGCACTATGTATTTTTAGCTCCATATTCTTATGGTTGATGAAAAAATGAATTTAGTGATCCACCTTACAATGACCTTCGGATGATCTTGAGCTCAGAAGTGAATGTAAACTGTAAACACACATCTTTAATTCGATCTTTTCTTTACAGTGCGTAATAATTTATTATAATAATAGTAATGCTATAGGATAAATCCGGAATAGTTTGACTACCGGGAGAGATCGACCAGTATTGATACTTTAAAACCAAAGCAAGATAGGGCTCTGTGTGATGTAAACAATATAATGTAATGTGTAATCTTGTCGTGTAATCTTATTTGTGGCTCCACAGTGACGATTGTTATAAACTGAAAATAAAAATAAAAAGTGTGTTAAGATTGTTTATATTGTAACTGTTTACATTCAGTTCGAAAGTATCATTTACTATGAATTACGTTTACGTTTCATTGACGCGTAGGAAACTTAGTATCTTAGTTATTGCCAATTTCTGAGCTCAAGGTCGTCCGAAGATCATTGTATGTTGGATCAATGAATTCATTTTTTCATCAGCTATAACAATATGGAGTTAGAAGTACATAATGTTATTTAAAAAAGTCAAGGTGACCTTAACTATTTTATTGAATAAAAAATGTTTTCGCAATTTTTATTAATGCGCTTTACTCTCAACAAAGTACTGAATAACTTTTATCCGAAACATTTTTTTGTCAGATTGGCCTAAATGTCTAAAAAATCGTGGCGACCGTTATGGTGAACACTCTGTTTAGGAGCATGTGAGAACTTCTCTTTTTAACTCTTTGCGCTCGAATTTATTTTAACCTTAGAATGGTGTACGTCAAAGTCACTTTGTATCACTGCAACAGTAGTGGCTTGACGGCAAATTGACTCGATATCAATAATCGTGACTTGGCAACGAACTCACTCCGTGACGATAGTGATTACTATTGAGACGGAATCAGTTTGACGTCAAGTCATCATTATCGGATACGGAATCTAAGTCACGTCGAGTCACCGCTATTGATACGAAACTAATTTGTCATCGAGTCATCATTATTGCAGTCACTGTATTAAATTGTAACTTGTCGGCTTTGATTTTGTCGATTATAAATTATTTTACTATTTTGAAGTCTTTGGGCTGGTAACTCGGTAATAAACATGTCTATGAAATGAATGTTGATCAAATTGTTGCACATTAGTCTGCGGTTGTTTTTGCGTTTAATGGTACTGATCGTTTCTAAGGATTACAGTTTATAATACGAATATAATATCGCTTTCTTTTTAAGCGAATGTAATCATTAATCAGGGCAAAAAAAGTTGTATTTAATTCCAACTTCTATTGTGAAGATCTTCACTCAATTCTCTGCAAGATCTAGTTACCACAGAGAGACAAGAGTGCACAAATAAATAATGTTCTTACTGCGAAATTATGTAACAACACTTATCCCTTTCCTACAAATAAGTACATACGTTTATATAAATGAAGAAATATATGCAAAATAAATTGGTTCTCTTCGTATCATCTTTATATAAGTATTTTCATAATTTTAGCTTTACTATGACGGTTTTTAAATTTCTTAAAAAAGTTCTTTTTCAATATTTATGTATTCCAAGATGGTTATATTGGTACGTTTTACAAATACATGCAGTGCTATTTTTAATAAACGATATATGAGATGAACATGTTTCTCCAGATACGTGTCAGCAATGAAAAGATAATAGAAGAAGAAATATTTCACTTTTCAATGAGCTTAAAACAAAGCATGGTTCTTGATATTATGACATTTAAAATTATATTATACTCAAAATGCATGATCTATACTATGCATACTGTACTATGTATACTATTCTATATATTGTGCTATACACAACATCAATTTCAACTTTCCAAATCATGTTTTATTAAATAAGTTCGATCGATGTCGTGCGACGCTTTCACGGTTGCTGGTTTGGTAGCCATAAAAGCTTTTCGATTGTCTCCAAACTACAAAGTTCGCTTTCAATAGACGACTCTAATTATACATGGGAATCGACGAGTACTCTACGCGTTATTATCCAACAGCAGTGTTCATTGATTTCATTATTTTAAGCATCGTATAAAGACCACCGTTAAATATTGCAACAGCCAGATAAAACTCAGTTTTTTACATGACCACGATGGAGATGATTTCGAGACAATAATTTCGAAAAAGTAATGAAATTAAAAAACGATCTTTTCTATTTTTTTATCCGTGCCTATGACGAATTTATTCAAATGATTTCGATGAAATTTTTAGATCGTACATAAGTTACCAAATCCTACAAAATAGATTGTTTAAATTTTTGTTACCGGCTCATGTAAGAAACTTGGGAAGCATTTCTTTTTTTTATATTTTTTGTCATTCGAACTAGCTAATATTTTTCCAAAATTTTGTTCACTCATATTCTATAAAACATGTCAATCTAGACTTTAAAAAAATATTTAAATCGCTTGACCAGTTTCAAAAAAGTTATTGCTTTTTAAAAGAAGATGTTCGAATATTAATCCTTTGCACTCGAGTGACGACTCTGAGGTGCCGCTAAATATTGCTATATATTCTCAAAATAATTATAACAGTATCAGATTCGTTTATATTAAAAAAAAAACTGTTAAAATTGCAAATATTGTACTTGCCAATAAGCTCATTTTTATACGCATAGATCGCAATAAATCATGTACAATAGAAATACTGTAGATCAGAAATTTCAAATTAAAACAGCTTCGTGCGCAAAGGGTTAACGCAGACACGCCGCAGATGAAGCAATAATGACTCAACATATCAACTCGCGTGCAGTAACACCAGTTGCCGAAATACCCTGAATTCCCGGAATGTCTCGTGATTTAGAATTCATGATTTCCTCCGCTTCGGAGCGCAAACACACGGTGATCAGAAGTGAACGAAGATTCGGAGAAGCTGAGTTCGCTGGTCAAGGAAAGTTTGCCTGACCACTTGCACCGTTTCCTGAGCCTGAAAGCTGTCGCCGGGATCTTTCGAGTAAGTATCGAAGATTTCCTGAGTAGGTCTCGAAACTCCCGCACGGTTTTGAAGGTCTCGAGGAATTTAAACGTTTACCAGCAGGCACGCTGTCGAGGAACTGTTTAAGATGTTTGGTAACTTTCGAGCTTTTCAGCCGGCGCGGCGATGTGCAGCTTGAATCGTAGCTTTCCGGCAAGCTTGACTCGATTAAAACTCGCGGGGGCCGAATTCGTTGCGAAGCTTGCATCGTTCTAAGTTACCCTCTCCGGGAGACGTTGTTACAACAAGGTGCCGTTGCTGGCAGAGCTCGGCTTGGCCTACACGCTTTTGCCAACTCGTCGCCGTACTTGTCATATTCCGTCTTCTTTGCTAAAGAGAAGCGGCTTTAAAAGACAACTCTGCTCGCGAAGTACAAACGTTCCCTGTTTCGAGTTGCTTTATCAAGAGAAATGCGTGGGAGTTTCATTACCGATCCGATGCTATTAAGGAGATATTTTGCCACAGAGGAGGTCGCGTGCAACTCGTTGAAATGCAAATGCGTATACGTTAGCGACGGAGTAGCAATCGAGTTAGATGTTTAAGTTGTAAATTGCAGGTTCCAGGCAGTGCAGCTGCTTTTGAGTTGCTGATTGACCGAGACGTTCGTTTCTAACACGGTTGGAAAGTTTCGAAGTCGTGCTGATACTTTGTGAATAATGAAATATACAATAATGAAATATATATATGTAATAACATTTTCAAAATCAGACCAAATTGACTTAAATGTTTTTAGATGTTAGACCGACTAGTCTGTTAGAGCATGAGTAAACGAAACATTTTTTAATTATTAATTGGTTGGAATGATGAACAAATTAAAAGGTGATATATTCCGACTTTTTCATCTAAGCCTGTGACGAAAATTTAAAACTGCGTTTCGTAGATATCGGTAAGTTACATGCACGCTGAAAATGTCAGTGAAATCGATGACGCATAGTCAAGCAACAGCCACTGAAACAATGTAAAAAATTACCTATTTTTGATTGAAATTCTCTTGTGACACTATTATTTTCACGGACTTCAAATATAAACAGTTTATAGCAACGTCAGCCTATTTCAATCGAATTTCCAGAGATCTACAAAACGCAGCAGGTAAATATTCTAATTTTCTGCGTATAATTTTGCCCAACAATATTTGTCAGTGCCCTATAAATAATGCTTTACGTAGAACAACGTATAAAAGCAAATATGAGACAGATTAATAACCGACAAGTGAACTGAGTTATTTGAACTAAACGTTCTTTGTTCATTGTGTAGTAAAATGCTTTTCAATCGCATGCCACGCGAACCGTATGATGCAAAATTTCACAGGATGTCGTGCAGATAATATATTCCGCGAAACGTATAATACAACAATGTATTCATATGTCGCGCACGATATACACGCGTACATATAGTACACTGTTACATAACGCATATATTTTATGTTACAAACATGAAATATTTATGGTGTAAATAATCGCATACTGTCGAAATGCGGCTAACCGAACATCGCCGTAAACATTGCTTTCCAATGTACCGGGTGTTAAGGAAATAATGATCAGCGATGCTAGGTGTGATTCTCTATAACGTGTTGCATGAATATTGATGAATGAATCGTTTCGTAAAATTGCTTATGACAATGACAAGCATGGATTGATTTATTATAAGAATGTCATCTACACGTTGAGCTACGTGTGAGAAATGTACGATTTTTCTGCGACTTTGTAAAATTTAAAAACCGATGAAGCAATTGTTAACACGTTCCGTGCCGAGCTTTTTTTACTCGAATCTTCACACTTTGATATTTTACTAAAACTTGATGTATTACGTGCAATTATTAATTCTCGTACACATAACAACGTAACAAAAACTTATCAACGCCCATTCTTGCGGTGGAAATTGATTCTTCGGTTCTAAATTTCTTGTAAACAATTTGTTCAGTTCACTAAGTAAACATGCAAGCGTGTACCATCGATGGTACACGTGGCACGGAACGTGTTAACGGAAT